CCAACATCCCTGAACCTGGTCATGTTGCTGATGAACTTGGAGAGAATGTGTGAGTGAGAACCCTTGCAGATCACTCCTCTATAACTATATAACTACCCAGCCATTAGTATCAATAAAAAAGAACCTGGTACATCTACTTTCAGCCTTGATAGGACCCAGTCATAAAATTTAAGATATTGTCAATTTGCCTTTTTTTTTTTTTTTAAATATTATTAACAGTCAAGTCAATGCCAAACATGTTACATGACTTAAACACAGATATATCACATTCATTTATTTATTTATAACATACACTGGAATGATATAAGAACTTGGTTTATGTCTTACTCCACCATTAAGACTCACATCATTTTTCATAAAAGCTATACTGTCAAAATTTACATGTCAATGGTAATATTATCCGTTTCCCTACAAGGAAGCATTTGGCATTCATTGAATGAGCAGCCAATGCGGCTTTTAGTTGAAATTTATAAAATCTTAGGAAGTGGTTGTATACAACAGACAGTTTAGATATTTCTGAACAGGTTTCTGGCATCCATATGAAAGTCTCGATCTGACAATGTTATTCAAGAACATGACTTGAGTTTTTAACAACTGATGTTTTTGGTTTCATAGCAATTTGCAGTGTTTGTTCCTCTGGCACAGCTTATTCTATATCTATATATCTATGAATTTCTTTTCTCTTACACTTAATTTGTTATAATTGATCCATACACTGAGGTATCTGAAGTGTTTAGTATTTACTAATACTGAATTTTTATGAAGGATTCATAGTACATCACTGCTTTCCTTCCAATTCTAGATCATGGTCTCTGTTATGGAACAGCTTATCTCAAGTCCCTTTTTTTGAAGACTTTATAGAGAATGCTAATTTTCTATAGAAACCAAATACATTTGAAATCTTGTAAAATCTAGAAATGACCAATCAGTGATGGCCAGGCAAAATTGGTCTTGGTGTTAAGAAAATCTTAAGTGTTCTCTTATACTGTATTTGATCGCATGGACACTATCTTACCCCACCCAGCCAAAAACTGGTTTATGAGGTTTATAAGTGAAAGCTGAGGTATGTACGAGGTTTACCTGGATGTTGCAAACTTCCCAGTATCTAAATAATATGTTAACTTATCTCCTCTGAGTTTTGCAGAATCTAAAATCCACTCATCAGGAAACAAAAGTAATTTTGATTTATTTTTTAAATATTTTCCTTAAAAATTTTAGCACAGATTTTGAAATCCACACATCCAGAGACAAATGTATTTTTTAAAATTTATTTTCCTATTGAAATATCTGGATATAAACATAAGTTCTATTCTAATAGTTTATTTTCTTGCACTTCTCACCTGTGGAACTCTCTTCCAGTTTCTTGCTTCCCTGAGGCCTATGACCTTCATAAATTTAAAAGCAATACTAATCATCACTTTCTGTCTTCCTAAAACCTGTTCTTTTATTGTCTTTTCTCTTCTATAATGTTTCATTTTAGTAGCCCCTTGCATTTCAGTGACATCATTGTCTTTCTTGAGATGTAATAATTAAAAAAACAAAAATATATATTCTTAAAAAACCCCCCAAAAAACTTCAACTCAGATTTTGAAATCCATTCATCAGGAGACAAAACACACATGAATGTCATCTTCAAAACTCAATTATAACTTATGATATCAAGGCGGTGTAATGGATAGCAAGCTTGTCTCGATAGCAACAATTACAACTGAGTAGTGAGTTTAATCCTCACTGGGTACCCCCACTACTTTCAGGCTTGTGCCACATCTAAGCTATGCTTGGAAAATCACTTTTTGTCTTGCTAGAACAATTACAACTGAATAGTGAGTTTGATCCTCACTGGGTACCCCACACTTTTGACCTTGTGCCACATCTAAGCTACACTTAAAAAATCATTTGGGCACCTCGAGGCAGTGTAATGGTTAGCAAGCTTGTCTCCTTCACACAATTACGACTGAGTAGTGAGTTTGATCCTCACTGGGTGGCCTCTACTTTCGGCCTTGTGCCACACCTAAGCTACGCTTGGAAAATCAATATGATATCAAGCAATGCATGTTAATGCAATTACATATATACATATATTAGTAATAAAGCTGTTTGTATATAATCCAAGCGGATCCTAAAATATTAAAACTGATCCACAAAAAGAGCTCAATGTATGTATTATTACAGAGCAAATAATTACTACACAATAAAATCCAAAATTACTTCGTATGGGGGAATAGGCTTATTTCAACAAATGAAAAGTTCGTCAGTCTTATTAAACCCTAGTATAGACAGAGTTTGTGTTGGAATTTGAAATTTAACTGTGACAGCTACAAAAAGGGGGGGGACAAAATACCAATACAGAATTTATCCATTAATTTATGAGTACACCTATCTGCAAGAGAGGTTAGCCAATCCCTGTTGCAGACGCTGCTCAGGCACATTTGTTGTTTAATACCTAGAGCCCACCTGTGGTTTATACCAACTATGCTAAACGGCCTTAGTTACAGTTTTGAGAGAGAGAGAGAGAGAGAGAGAGAGAGAGAGAGAGAGAGAGAGAGAGAGTCGTCCTGCATGAACAACAATTTGAACAAGGCCCTGTACGCTCAAAGCCTCGGTCACGATGATTTGCGACTCAGCGCTAGCACAACCATCGACAAATATGTAAATTTCGCTAACAAGGCTCGAGTCAACTCATGATCTGTTTTTTTTTTTTTTTCCCGCTTTTTTCAGGCAGTTTCCAAACGCGCTGTACACCTGGACCACATCTTCAGGCCGCTAACTTCAAACAAAAAGTCAACTTTCTGACAAATCGACCATGATCGAGCCACGTGCCCATAAATAACTGCATGGTGGCTGTCATCATCAAACCATCGACAAACATTCTGTCCCCGATTTTGAACGCTCTTCTCTCAAGTAGCATCATGTGTACAAAGTATAAACACTTTTCAAATACAGATACTACACAATCTGATCCGAGATGAAAGAGCGAATCCACATCGCGGAAATAATAAAATTTATAAGTAGAAAAGAGGGAAAATAAGGAAATTATAATTTTTTTTTTTTTTAATCGCAAAACATAATAAAAGTTAGAAAACTGGTCAATATTTTCTAATCTAAACAGTTTTTAAACATTTTTTTTTGGTAACGATAAACTGTTCGGATTTGGAATAAACGTGTTTTTTTTTTTTTTTTTTTTAAATTATAATTATAATTTAGGAGAAATTAAATTTAGCTCAATTTAAGAAGCATTTCGTGTGTTTTTTAGCGATCTAAAAAAAAGGGGGGTGAGTGGGGGAGAGAAACAAACAAAAAAAAAAACCGTTTCCAACATGCATGTTCAATTGAGGGACTCCGGTTTTACTTTTTGAGTTTTATAAATTTTCTTAGCACACCCGGAGCCACAATCGCAAGTTTAAACAAATAAACACTAAAAAGTTAGTAAACAGTATCAGGACCCCCAAATTCACTTTCAAGAGGTAACCAATTCAGTTCCAAGAGGTAACCTACAGGTTAAAAAGATCCTTAACACGACAAAAGGGGGGGGATTAAAAAAATAAACTAAACTTATTTTTAGCACATTGTAAAACATTCTTTTGTGATAATTGAGTCCAGTTAATTAGGGAGGATTATTAAAAAAATATCCTTGTGCCTTTTTTTAGCGTTTAAAAAATAAAAATTATACAGCCCACTTAACTTGAGTATTTTTTCTCAAACTTTCCATACATTTCAGCAGAAATTTATTTATTTATTTTTACCCTTCCCAAGAACTTTTATTTTTTTTTTTAATTGGACAAGGTGGTTGACAGGGGAGTATGGCATCATTTTCATTCCGTAGACAGAGACAAAATTTTACTGAAGTTAAAAAGCCTAAAAAGGAAATTATAAAATTTATGATCAGCATTTAATATTTTAGATGTCAACATTCAGTTTGATGACACGGTATGTCGTATATAAGAAGAATAATCATCAACAAACTCTTTTGGTTGGTGACCTATATAGGAAATGGTATGTAGGCATTTTTTTTCTTTTCTTTTTTGGAGTGGGGGTGATGAGGTGAGTGGGGGTAATATTCAACCAGGAAAGATCTGGCGTTTATTATTGGTATTCCCAGACTTATTCCGACTTATTCGAGGTAAAAAAAAAAAAAAAAAAAGACAAACTAGAAACAGAATAGTAAAACTAAAAGTATAAAATTAAAAAAAAAAAAAAAAATACTTTTTCGGTTCAGCTCGTCAGTAACTTGAAAAATAACATTTATTTTCTGAAAGAATCATTCATTACGAATGTTAGCGAGCTAATCTAGCAAGCAGACGATTCGCAAGTTCGGTCCTAGTTATTGGATTCCCTACAATTTGTAGTTTGGTAATGTTTGAAATAGAGTTTCAAACACTAAGTTATCCGTCACTCTGTTCTATAAATAAATTAAAAATAAAAATTTAACATTGGAAAATTCGTAACAATTCATGGTCTGGCCCAAAAAGTTTTTTTTTTTTTTTTTAAAGATTTATGGGGTGGGGGATTTTTAAATGATGACCATAGAAACATTACACATTAAAAAGTAATAATTATTGATAATACTTGTTTGTGGTAAATTTTGCAATAAAAATAGACTACGTCAAACGAAATAGTTGAATAAGTGAAAATTTCAACATAAAAAAACAGAAAAAGGAAAGAAAAAAAGTTATGTGAGGGGGAGGGAAAAATGAAGACAGTAGGAAGTTAAAATGAAAACAAATCATAATGTTGAAGGGTGGAGGAGGAAGTTATAAATACTTCCTAACTAATTCAGAATTCTTCAACAAATAACAATTCCAGAAGAATTGTTTTATTTACATTTTCGTTATTTTATAAAAAAAATATAATGAAAATATAAATCAGTAACGATGATAGAAAATTATGGGAATTTTTCTCTTTCAAAAAGAAAAAAAAATTGATCCATCTTTGGAAAACAAAAAAAGTTATAAGACAATTAATTTAAATAATTAAAAAAAAACAAAAAAAAATAAACTTACTGGTGAAGAACCTTGTGAAAATGCAGGCATCCTTGATTCGTATAAACAGCTACACAACAAATTATGCAAATGACATAAACAAGTTCGTAGTTTCTTCATTTGAAATTTGTTTTTACTTTATTTACTTATCACGACTAGTTTTACCTACTTTGTTATAAGAGAATTATTGCTGGTTGAAAACGAACTGCAGCAGCAGCAGCAACAACAACCACCCCCAAGAAGAGTTAACTTTTTTCTTTCTTTCTTGGTAACTTGCTTGTGGCTTTTTTAGTAGTTGTGGTGGTAGTAGTAATAGTAGTAGTAGCCAAAGAAAAAGGTTTAGAAAAAACAAATAAACCCAAAAGAAACAGAAAAGTAGTCCAAGAAGAATAATAAGTGATAAAAAAAAGATGGGAAAAAATAAAAACTTAAAGATGAAGAAGAATTAACAGCAGGTGTTCGACTGTTTAAAGGCGGTTGTTGATTTTTTTTTTTTGTCACTTTGAAAGCGCGCGAGATGGGTCTTTTATGGGGGGGGGAAAGATTTTGACTTTTGTAGTTCAAGAAAAAAATAATTTAGATTCCGGTAATGTGGAATTTAGTTGAACTGTTCCCGAAAAACAATAGAGAAGAAGAAAATATAAATAATTATATTGACTGTCACATTTTGGGGAGCAAAGGTTCTTTTTTTTTTCTTTTACTTCTTCATACGCTTGTTTGAAACTTAGAATCTTTTAATTTTATTTCATATTAAAAGCAAATTTTCTCATAGGGGACTGAATATAAATATAATTTTTTTTCAAACTAAATTACTGAGGAGAAATCTCCAAATTAATGTTTAAATGTTTTTAAGTGATTCATTTGCGTGATTAAAAGACTTATTTATTCCCCTTGACTTCATAACAAGTAAATCACTTCAAATAAAAATCGGTCTGTTTGCAAAAATGACTGTCGTCAAATATTGTCAGAATTTTTTTTTTTTTTTTTTTTAAACTCTAAAAAATAAAAATGTTTCTCAAAATAAACTTTTTAGAGAATACTTCTCCCTTCTATCCAAGTTTGCATTAATATTTTTTCCTGAAGTTGGTTGTAGACGAATTAACATTTTCCTTAGGGTAGATCATCACCGAAACAGGAGACAGAATCGCTTCTTCTTTTTTCTTGATATGATTCTTCCTCTTCTCGGTATATATTCCGTGTTGCAAGGCACAACTCCTTAAAAACAATAAAGGTTGTCGTAGAAGGTATCCAATAATTTCGGACAAAAGACGGAGGGACCAGGTGTAGCAACAACAGTCAATAACAACACCCGATTTATACACTATCTTTTCTTCCATAACTCCAACAATGACCGAATTACTGACTAAAGTTATGGCCAGAAGGAATGACAGGCAACAAATCGGAGAGAAATGAAGTAAAGAGAAACAATAAAATATGGAAAGAGGCGGGAAAGAGTTACGATCTGGTTGTTGAATTTTGTTTTTTATCTTTCTTTCTGGAACTACAAAGAAAGCGAATAGCCAAAAAAGTATGGATGGGTTCAACTCTCTAAAATACAAGAAACTTTTTCTACCCTCCTTGCTGGTTGGATGTCGACAAAATAATCAACAAAACTTCGCCTGTCCGTTCGTACACTCAGGTACGTACAATATACATTCTCGTCTACCGACAAACACCAAAGTGAAAACACGAATGATAAAGGTCGGGGTGGGTGCCTGTTTGGGAGGTGAGTTGGTGGTAAGAAAGTAGTATGTGTGTATGTATGTGTTTAGTTTACTTGTTTGTTCTATCAAACCTTCCTTTTTTATTCCATTGTCTATTTTTGATTTGACTGTGTGTGCGAGAATCAAGTTAGCTGTTTGTTGCAGAAGGTTGCTTCTCTAAATCTGTCCGTCGCGGACTGTTTCGGTAAAGTGTGTGAGTGAGAAAGAGAGAAAAGTTTGTCTATGTGCGTACCTACACTTTTACAGTATATAAATAAATACTGTACAGAGTATATATGTGGATATGTCTATGCATGCATACATATCATGAGAGTTTGTCTATGATAGCTCATGGATGTGTGTACGTACGCCTTTTTGTATGTGTGTAAGTGTATGACTATGGCGTAGCTTAGATGTGGCAGAAAACCGAAACTAAGGAGCACCCAGTGAGGATCGAACTCACTTGCAAACCATACCACGTCGATATACCTTCGATATGCCTGTGTTAACTGTACTCTGTTTAAGAATAATATGCATAATAAATTATGGCTCTATATTGTATATGTTTTTAGAGTACATGTGTGTGTGTGTGTATCTGTAATGTTCAGTTCAGACTCACAGAGACAATCTAGCGACGGATCTCAGCCTGTTCATCGAAAAAAACCCTCTCTCTCCCTATGCAGGTAAAGAAAGAGTATCTCTATTCTCTATCAATAAGCAGGTAAATGTAACTTACAGAAACATACCAACAAGAATGGTTTGATTAGAAACAGACTGAGATATGCTTTTTTTATATACGTCTCCTGACACATGTTTCCCTGAGGTGGGAGAGAGAGAAATAAACACCGTTAGTTTATTTACTTGTCTCAGTCTGATCCTATCCGTTTTATTCTGCAATATATATTTTCTATTTCATTGTAAACACGCATACAGAGAAGCATACACCTTTTTGACATATGTTTTTTTAATGCTATATCTCAACAGATTCCGTTTCTTCATTATCTGTGAATTGCCATGATGGATAGCGGAATGGTTTCCAGTTGCCTTCTCCATGGTTTTTCAATTCAGAGCAGCCCTCTACTAAATTGGCTGCCATCCAAAGTCTCTGGGGTGTGGGAAAAGAGAAATTCCTTTCCTCACTCCATCCACCAAAAAACATTTATTTGTGTAAAACAAAAGTGAATGCAAACAGACTCAGTCGGGATTTGAACATGTCTCGCCGATTTTATTTTCCACGTCAATAACCGTCAAGCGTACGTGTGGCTATGCACATCTAGAAAAATGTCGGAGACATGAAGTAAAAGTTTAAAAGTTTACAAAATTATTTTAATTAAAATTTTAAAAAATGAAGATAATTCTTATAAAAATAAATTCATTGAAAAAAATATTCTTAAGACATAGTATCCATATTCATAAAATCAATTTAAAAGCTTTTCTGATTAAAATGTCTTAGGTTTTTTTTTTTTGCATTTTTTATTTTACAATTCAGAGTCTCTGCAGGTCCTGTTTAAAAAACTGATTAAAATTTTTTCGAGGACTTGTTTTTATTTTTTACATTAAAATTCTACAAAAAAGATTTTCTCGAAATTTCATAAAATTAAATGAGTAGGGAAAAGTAATAGATGTAAAAAAAAAAAAAAATTTTACAAATAATTTCTAAAAGAAAAACATTTAAAAAATAATTTCATTTTTGAATAAGTCCTGAAAGTTTCAGAAAGAGGCTCAAATTTAAATTAAAATTAAATTTAAGGTCCTGTATTGATGCCAGAAAAAAAAAAAAAAATTTTTAAGTAACCAAAATTTCCAAGGTTCTAAAAAGGATTAAAAAAAAAAAAAAGAAATTGCATAAAAAATCCTTTGATCTTCCAACTTCATAATAACACAAAAAGGCCTTGATGATAAAAATTTGTTTTATTATTTTGTTTTGTTTGTGCTTCCCCACCCCCATCATATCCTTTTTTTTTAACGAATTTTTTGGAGGTACCGAAAAGAAATGTTAGTACTCGACAAAATCATTTTGTCAAAACAAAATGTAATGTCCAGAAAAGGAAAATCTCGAAAGTTTGTTATGAGCTAGTGATATAACTTGACAAAAAGAGTATTTACACTTCATATGCCTGGAACAGTTACACTCCCGTGGGGTTACTCAGTCGGCGATAAAATGCAATTATTATGTGTGCTGTGTGACCGTCGCATTTATGCGCGCGCGCGCACACACACACACTTTCTTTCTCAAAATATTGCTTCACTCAAGTTTATCATCAACCCCTGCTTCTCCAGTCCAGATTTGTCTTGTTCTCTAACATCTGTTTTTCTCCCCCCAGAGTTAAACTCACTATAGAAACACTGAGTGATTAAGAATAATGAGGCAGCTGGTGGTGATCCCAAAAGAGGATTTCCCAAAATGTTTTGAAAAGTGGAAGAGAGACGCTAGAATAAGTATATGAGTTCCAAAGGAAGGGTGGGGGGGGGTAAAGAGGACCGAGAAATTTTCCAGACAGACTTTGATACAAATTGTGTATATAATAGCCAGCTTCAAGCATATAACTCTTCTAGGGCAGTTAATCAATCCTTGTTGCAGACGCATGCTCAAGCATATGCACATTTGTTCTAACTCCTACAGAAGTCACCTGTGGCTTATACTGAAACTATGCTGAACAGGCCTTAGTTACAATTTCTGGGAGAGAGTGCATAATCTGGCATGATCAACAGTTTGAACAAGAGCAGTATGCTCAAATGGTGTCCAAACATTTCCACCTATTCAATTTCACTCAAAAGGATGGAGTCAGTCTGTGGAATTATTTTCAGGGGTATTCCCAAGGGGTCATATGCTGATGCATACACACACACATCATCTCAATCTAAATATATAAAAACTCAGATCAGCAAACGCAAGGTGATATATGTGAGAATTTGTTTTAAAATGGAGGATTACATCTATATCTGGTGGGCTGGATCTGTCCATTTCTCACTTTCCAATCTTGACAGAGTTCAGAATACCAGGTGCTGTAAGCTTGGTGGATGGTGTAATGGATAATGGCTTGGAATTGTTAATCGGAGAGTTGAGTTCCCATATGATCAACAAAGTTAAGCAACGTTGAGATTAGTTAGTACCTAGATGGGTGACCGCTTGGGAATATCATGCTGTCAACTTGGATGTGTGAGTGGTGTAATGTATAATGGCTAGGAACTATTAACTTAGAGAACCAAGTTTAAATTCCAGTTGGGTTTGTTATATTCACTTACACACAAATACCCTTGGGAAAGATATGAATTTACCACGTCTCCCCCATCTATGGGTTAATTAGTAAAATTTGTATCACTAAATAATTATTACCTCAAAATAAA